TTGCTCCAAGCCCCTGTGTCCAACCTGGCCTTGAGCACTGCCAGGGATGGGGCAGCCACAGCTTCTCTGGGCATCCTTGCTGTGAGCTTAGCACCAGGGTGAGGTGCAGCCACGTTCAGTGGGGACACCAAAGTGCCCACTGGGGCTTGGTCACTGCCCTGCTGCTGCCATTGCCAGGGGGTTCCAGTGGTGGGGTCCTGCTGGGGCTGGGGGCTGGAGGTGCTTCAGGGTTGGGCATCCCCCAGTGTTAGGTGCTGTTGGACTGGAGGTGCTGCCTCTTGCTGGGCTTGGAGAGCCTGGGGAGACCAAAGAGTTGAAGACCTCAGAGACCGGTAGATCCAGCCTGGGTCACAGCAGTTCCCTTCTGCCATCTCCCATTAACAGCACCAGAGATCTCTGCTCTCCATTTGCTCTGGTTCTCCAGGAATCACCACCACTTGTGCTGGTTTTCCACATTCTTCCCTGTCCCAGTGGGAAGGATGATGGCAGAGGCTCATCTTCCCACCAGGCCACGCTGAGCTGCAGCCAAGCATGGCACAACCCCGTTTGCTTTCCAGGGCCAGGGACCATGAGCTGTGGCAGCAGGAGTGGCATGTGGGGCTCCGGTGGAACGTGTCCCTCGGTGTGCCATGTCACCCTGGCTCTGGGGACCCTGGGCACCAAGCTCCTGCTTGGACCTGGGGCTGGTCCTTGCCCATCATCCTCGTGGGGTGTCACTGGTTTCTCCCCTTTATCAAGGGTCCTCCCTCAGTGAAGAGAGCATCCAGGGCTGTCTGAGGGTGATAGAAGGGAGACTGAGCTGAGCTCTTAGGCAGAAGCTCTTCCCTGTGAGGGTGCTGAGGCGCTGGCACAGGGTGCCCAGAGAAGCTGTGGCTGCCCCATCCCTGGCAGTGCTCAAGGCCAGGTTGGACACAGGGGCTTGGAGCAAGCTGCTCCAGTGGAAGGGGTCCCTGCTTGTGGCAGGGGTTGGAGCTGGAGGAGCTTTAAGGTCCCTTCAACCCAAACCAGGCTGGGATTGTGTGACTGAATGAAAGCTGTGCTGGGGTAACCCCCACCAGCAGACACCTGCCCTTCAGTCCTGTCAAAAGCCAAGGCAGCAAATCCCACCCTTGACGGAGGCTGATGGAGAAGGGTCCCCGAAGCCCTGCGCAGCTGAGGTGCAGCAAGGAGAGGCCTCTCCAGCTGGCTCTGACCCCGCTCCAGGCTTGCTCGCTGTGAGACTAAACACTTGCTGAGCAAAGCTGCCGCCGAGGGTCCCTGGGGGCCGCGGGGATGTGTCATCCATCCCGGGGCCAGCGCCGCGCTCCAGCCGTGTCACACAGACACCGCTCCGCCGGGGGGGTCCGGATCCGGCCCCTGGGCTCCCCCCCCGGTGCTGGCCGGCCCGGGCCAAGTCCCCTGCCGGGCACGGCGGCGGCTCTGGGAGCCGGGTCCTGCGGCAGGGGCTGCGCTCGTCTCGCCTGCAGCCATTGTCTTGTTTATTCGTCACGGTTGGTCCCCACTTAGGGGCAAGGGCTGTTTCTTCCCATGTGAACGTGCGGCTCCCAGGCCGCCGCGCTCTGATGTGGTCAGGGCCACGCAGGAGCATCTGCTATTGCAGCAGCCGTGCCCGGGGATGAATGCGTTTCAGATGGGCTCCGCTCGGCTTTCCGTGCTCGGGCTGGTGGCCAGCCTGGGACGGTGGGGAAGAGCTGCCGCCTGCGCTGTGGACATGATGTTCCGCTCCCCAGGGACCTGCTGGGACCCGGCTTGGGGTCAGGGGCCTGATGGAGAGATCGGGACCAACCGATCCCAAATATCAAGCCTTGGGGGCAAGTCTTAAATGGGGAAGGGGCTCTGACTTGGGCACCAACGGGGCCGACCCCAGACCGGGTGGACACGGGGGAAGGTGGGATGCTCCGGACGGGTTCGTCCATGGGATGTCCCATCCCGGGCCGGTCCCATCTGGGATGCTGGTGCTGCTGCAGGGTACCGGGGGGGGGGGGATGTGAAGCCCCATCCCCGCACCTGCAGCCCGCGGATGGCAAGTCCGGTCTGGCCGGTGTCCGGGGGCAGCGGCACGGACCCGTCCGGCCGGGTTGCGCGGCGTCAGGCAGCACATGATCCGCGCCGCGGGGCCAAGGGCTGAGGTCAGCCCGTCACACCCAGGCAGCGGCACTGACTTCACCGCGGCTCCTCACGTACCGCGCTCCCTGAGGCAGCGCTGACCCGCAGCCGGGCTCTGGTCAGAGCGCCCCGGTGTCAGCGGCGCTCCCACCGCAGCGAGCGGCTCCCGGAGCCTCCGCGGCTCTGCCGCAGCCAAAGCGGCTCCTCCAGCCCCGGGAAGCGCTCACGGGGTCCTGCCGGTGCCCTCGGGGAGGCCGCAGCGCCGGTTCCCCCCCCGGTGCTCGCAGCCCTGCGCAGGGGCTGGTCCGGTTCCCCCAGGGCCGGCTGGGTGGGATCGGCGCTGGCTGAGGTCATGGAGAGCCCTTTCCATGTTCCCGAGGCTGGGATGGCCGCTGAGCGCGGGGCCGCCTGTCCTGGCCCGCAGGATGGCGAGGACACGAGCAGGGGCAGCCCATGGTGGGGGGGATGCTGTGGGGAGTGCGGGGGTCTCATCCTCGCTGCGGCAGGAGCCGCGTGTCCAGGGAAGGAAGAGTTAATCCCCGCCCGCTGCTAATGAGTCTTAACTGGGAATGACCCGGCACAGGGGAGAAGTGAACCCATTGTCCTCGCCTGTGTTTGACCGCCTTCCAGAGGGACTCATGAAGCGCAGAGCCCGGGCGCGGGTTCCCGATTTGTGTCAGGAGGGGCTGATTTATTCTATTTATTTATTTTTGCCATCTGGAGGAGCGGGGCCGCTGAACGCAAGCGTGAGAAATGCAGATGTGCTCCGCTCCTCGCTGCTCGCCCGGCCCGGCCCGGCCCAGCCCCGCAGGGCGCGACCCCAGCCCCGGCCGCTGACACCCATTCAGTCCCCGCAGCCACATCAGCGGTGGCTGCCCCGGGCACCCTCCGGTATTCACATGCAGGTGGGCTCCCAGCGTGCAGGATGGTTGCCATATGGCAGCCATGGAGGTGATGGCCATGGGGACACCCGAGCATCCCCGGACACAGGGATGTGGTGACCTTGGTGTGGTGCTGGCAAGTGCTGCAGGACCTGGAGCTGCTGCATGATGCCCACCCCAAATAGCTGGTGCTCACCCCTCCTGCTGCTGTGCCCTGCCCCATCCCTGTGGTTTAGGGGTGGCTGTATTGCTTTGAGGACACCTTATGTCATGGTGAAGGCAGGATAATGACCCCCACAGACTGGCTGCAATCCGGGCACCCTCCGGGGCAGTGGCACCGGGGACACCCAGGGTCCCTTCCCCGATGGCAGGATGAGGTGTTGGAAGAAACCCCCACACCATCCCTGGGACCCACTGGGGACGTCCCCATGTGCCTCCTCCATGGAGCAGGGAAGCTGGCGCTGGTTTGGGGCTCACATCCCACCGTGAACATGGTCAGGATGGCGCGGAGCACCGCTCCTTCTGCTGTCACCCGTCGATCTGGTGTGGCACAGGGCTTCCTATGCTGGGACCAGTTTGGGGACAAACAGATGCCATAACACCTCCCATAGGAGCTGGAGGATGCTGTGGGCAGCCTGACCTCTTGGGGCAGAGCAAGAGGGGTTCTGGGGGGGGTGACTTCTGCATCTCTGTGATGGTTTTTGTTGGTCTGGGCTCCTCCGAGACACAGAGATGATCACACAGGATCTTAGCTCATCCGCTTGCTGTCTCATGCCTGGGAGGTTTGGCCCCAGGCCCGAGGGCTCCGGAGGAGGAGGAAAATTTCATCATCCTGCTCCAACGTCTCCTGTATAATCAGGCTCTTGTTAACCGATACAGCCCCGCCGAGCCGCGCCGAGCACCGGGGCACTGCTGCAGCCTTTGGTGGTCTTGGCCACGGAGAAGCTTTGCTGAGCCTCTCCCAGGGCTGCCTGGGAAGCGGTTGGGACTTTATCTGACCCCCCCCCCCCCCAACCCTCACACACTTGCTCTCCTCCCTCTGCCTCTTCCCAGCCGGCTCCAGTGGTTCCCAGTACCCCCAGGCACTGTCAGAGCGCAGCTCCTTGCGCCACCGTGGTGCCCCCGCTGCGATGGTCCCCATGCTGTGATGCTCCCCAAACCGTGATGCTCCCCATGCCGGGGTGACCCCTGCATCACGATGCTTCCCACACCACGGTGCTCGCCACGGCATGATGCCCCCCATTTCATGATGCTTCCCATGCTGTGATGGTCCCCACTCCATGATGGTCCCTGCACCAACATGCTCCTCACACCACAATGCTCCCCACACTGTGATAATCCACACACCATCATGGTCCCTGCACCACGATGCTTCCTGCATCCTCCTGGTGCTTCTGAGCAGCTGGAAAATGTCAGTTTAAGCATTACCCCCCCCACCCCGCCTTCCCTAGAAAACGCCTTCACAATCAGGCATCCCATAGGAGATGGGAAAGGAAGAAGGAGCAGGGGGACAGGGGATGGTGACCCCCCCACCCACCGCGATGCATGAGGGGTTGTGGGGGCCCTGAGGGTGTTTCAGAGGAGCAGCAGAGGAGTTTGGGGGTGAGTTGAGGAGAACCCAGCAAAGAGAAGCCAAAAAGAGTCCGTTTCTGTTGGTTTATTTAAAAAAAGGGGGGGAGGGAAAGAAGTATAAAAAAATAAATATTTAAATAGAATTCTCTCTATATATATTACCACAAATCTTATTATTAATTATTATTAATTATTATTATTAATAACATTATTAGAAGCCAGGTCGGAGCCCTCAGTGCACGCTGGGCTTTACCACCGAGGCAATAAATAACCCTCACAGCCCGCTCTGGTGCCAGGAGCGAGCCAGCGCCTCCTGCCACCGGCCTGGGGCCTATCCTGTGTCCCCGTGTTCCCGTGTCCCCATGTCCCCATGTCCCCATCGTCCCTGCCCTGGGGCCATGTTCTGCTCTGCACAGCCCTTGGTGCATTCAGAGCGCTCTGTCCCCAGCGGTGGCGTCGTCCCAGCCGGTGGGACCCGGACCCAGCCCCAGCTGCCACGGCCACCCCGTACCCTCAGTTTGGCTCCTCTGTGGCAGAGCCCAGCCTCAAGGTGTGCAGGTCCCCGCGCTCTGTGTCCCCACCAGCCGCAGCATCCCAGCGTCCTTCATCCCAGCCCCTTTTCCCAGGGCAGCGGAGGCTCTGGGGCGATGCTCGGGATGTCCATCGGGTCCCTCTCCAGGATGGAGGACACCGGCTGTGAGGGACAGAGTCCGGCCCTGCCGCCAGCCCCTCACAGGTCCCCACATGGAGCACAGGACCAGCCGAGATGCATCCCAGGACCAGCCTGCGCTGCAGCATCACCTCTGGGATGCGCTGCCTCATCCCGCTGGATGCCGGCCCCAGCTCCGCTCCGCCCGGGACACACCAGGCTGCAACGTTCACCCCAGCAAGGGGCAGATAAAGGCCGGTGGGGCCAGCGCAGGGTCCAGGGTAATAAATAGGAGTTGAGAGGCGGCCGGTGCGGGGCAGAGGAGCCGGGGCAGGAGCTCACGGGGGGCTGAGGTGAGGTAGGAGGACACGGGCGGCCTGGGCGATGACCTGCACGTACTTCCTGAGCACCTGGCAGCCCTGCTGCTTCTTCTTGAAGGTGCTCTTGCCCTTGGAGCTCTCCCCGTAGCTGACGTCCACCTGGAAGACGTTGTAGTTCTTGCAGAGCAGGCAGGTGAGGTTGGAGATGAGGCCCCGCGTGGTCTTGGTGGTGTTGTGGAGCCGGTCCAGGAGCTCCTTGGCCGTGGGGTTGAGCTCCTCCTGGTCCCGAGTGATGTTGCCGAGCGAGGCATTGAGGAAAGCGAAGAGCTTGTACATGGCCACCATCACCTCCTTCCTCTCGCTCGTCCGGTTGACGCGGAAGGCGGGGAAGAACACGCTGCCGGCGTTGCAGAGCTTGTCGGTCTCGCTGCTGAACGGCTCTCCCTGGCACTTCAGCTGGGAGGAGAGGACACCGTCACCCCCGTGTGCCCTGCCCGCCCCCCCCGGCCACCTCCTGCCACCGTCCCCAGCCCTTCCCATCCATGCACAAACAGCCCCGGGGGTGGTTTGGCGGCCGCAACCTGCCCGAGCAGCACTTACATAGAGGCTGAAGAGGTCCTGAGCGGTGGCGTTGAGCAGCGCGACCTGCCTGCGGGTCTGCTCCTGCACGTTGGAGCGGCACAAGCCATGGCCGGGGCAGCCGGGGCCGCTCACCAGCAGCGCCCGCCCGGCCACCGGCCGCCGCTGCAGCAGGAGCAGGGCCACGAAGGGCACGACGCCTGTGGGGAGAGAGGCAAGAGGGAGGTCACGGCGGGGCCCGAGCCGGTGGAGGTCCGTGGGCACCGCGCCACCGGTGACACAGAGCATCCCCTGAGCGTGTCCCCAGCGCCGGGGGTGCAGGCAGAGCGGGGACGCATCCTGCAGGGGCCGGGGGTCCAAGGCAGACCCCACGTTCCCCTCCCGTCCCTCGGCCGTGCCCCTCACCTGCCCCCCGGCAGGCGCTCTCCCGCCTCCCTTCCCGGCGGGGCGCCCCACGGCATTCCCACATTTCGCAAGGGGCCCGGTGACGACCTGTGGGGTTTGATCAAATATGCAAAGCGCTTTCCCTCTCCGTTATCCCTGTCCCGGCGCTGCGGGAACAAGGCCCCACCCCGGCCCCGGCTGACTCACCGGGGGCGCCCGCAAGGAAACCTGCCTCCGGCAAACCCTCCCTGCCCGCTCCAGCCCCAGCGCCTGCCTCAGTTTCCCTGTCTGCGGAACGGGCAACAGGAGCCCCCGGGAATGACGCTGCAGCTGCCAGAGACACCAGCCAGGAGATCCCTGGATGCGGAGCAAGGAGACCCTTGGGCTTCTGGGTGACCCTGGTGAGAGCGGGGTGCTCCAATCCCCCCAACCCTGGGGACCCCTCAAAGCAGAATCCCTGCTCAGGGAGGCCCGAGCGCCTCCGGAGCACGGCATTCCCAGCGCAGGGTACCCCAGGATGCCAGCAGCGGGTGCCTTGGATGCATCCCCAGCCGAAGCTGCCAGCACTTGCCAGCGCCTCGGCCACGCCGGGTAATTCAAACCTTGTTCTATTTACCCTGCCCAGGTGGGAAAGGACTTACCTGGGCGTGATGAGATTCCCGACCTACCACCGCTCCCTTCCTGCGCAGGGCGGGGGAGACCCTCCCTCCCTGGGTTTTCCCATGGGATTCAGATGCCCTGAACCACCCACCCCCGCCAAGCCCCTCTCACTGCATCCTCCCCTTGCCCCGGCCACTGCCCTCTGCCCATTTCACATGTGCCAGGGGATGGACTGGGGGGGGGGCGGGTGGGTGCTGCCCTATAGGACCCCCCAGCACCGCTGCTGGGGCAGCATCCGCTCCCTGCTGCACTTGGCATCCTCCCCGTGGCTCCAGCGCTGCGGGGCAGTGGCGGTCCAGAGCACCGGGAGCCCCAGAAAGAGGAAAAGCAGGAGGGGGGTGGAAAAGTATAAAAAAGCCCCAAAAAGCCCCAAAAGAAAACGATCCCCCTCCCGTTTTGGGTTTCGTTCCCCGTTTCTTGGCCGCGGTTCCAGTTATATAAGTGTCCAGATGTTGGCTGCACCGCGCCAGCGCCGCGCTTCGCTCCCGGCTGCCAATTCCCAGAGATGCTCATCCCGGGGGAACGCGGCGTGGCGGGAGCCCTGGCTCCGGCTCTGGCAGCGGCGGCGAACCGGGACCCGCCTGTGCCCGAGCATCACCGGGGAAAGGGGAGCAGGGGGGGAGAGAGGGAAGGAAGGGTGGGAAAGGGGGAACAATCCCCCCCCCCCCAGAGCTGAGTTTGCTTTTTACCTGCCGGCACGAACTTCATTGTGAGCCGCGTCCCGGGAGCGACTTAATAGGGATTGGTGTTGGCAGAGGGAGTTTTCAGAAATTCATGTTCATACTGGGGGACTTCTCGGGGTTTATATACCGGTCCGGCAGCCAGCCTGTGTTGTAAGAAAGGGGAGGAGGGGGGGACGCGGGGGGGAGCAGCACCACTATCGTTACTTCTATTGAAACTGGAAATCAGGAAGTCGAGGGCTTTGGAAATCCTGAATGATTCTTAGAAATAAACTTCTGATAAAGTTGATGTCACCGGGATTGCGGCTTTGGGGGCTGCTGCCTTTTATTTTTCAGCCCTTTTCACGCACGGGGCCGGGGAGGTGCTGCGGGGATGTGGGTGGGAAGGGAAACGGGGGGGGAATGGGGATTGCCCCCGTCCCGCAGGGAGGCCAGCGGCCGCACGTGGGGTTCGGGTTCGGGGGTGTCGCGGTGCCGCTGTCGAGGCGCGATGTGAGCACACGGGGCCGTGAGTCACGGAGCCGCCAGCACTTTCACCCCCGGGGCCCCCCTCCCCGGGATGGGGCTTCCCCGGCGGCAGTCGGTACAGTGAAGGGGGGGTAAAGATGACTTGGGGGGGGTTAGAGGGGTAAAAGGTGGTGTCGGGGTCCCCCGAGGGGTGCGGGAGCCCCGCTCACAGTGGGGTGAACGCGGTGGCACCGGTGTCCCCCATCCCGCCATCGGTTTGTCCCTTTGGGCACCAATGTCAGGAGTAAAGGGTGGGTTTTCTGGAGGGAAAAGGACAAACCCACCCAGGGGGAGAGGCTGGGCCCCCCCCCCCCGTCCCCGGTTAACCCTTCCATCCCCACTGCCTGCGCTGGGCTGGTTGGGAAGGTGTTAAACCCAGTGTGGGAACGAGCACCCGAGCTGGGATCAGCCCCTGGTGAGGTCCTGTGGGACCAGGGTGCTGTTTGGGCCCCGGGTTGGGTGTTAAAGGGGTTAAAGGGGATGTTGCTCTATGGGTTTTCTATGTGTTTTCTGCCTCAGAGGGGCACGGCCCAGCTGAAGCTTTGGATCAGGTTTAGCAAGTTTGTGCCCTGGCAGCGTGAACCCGCCGGTGACAGTCGAGGAACGGTGATGCAAGAGCCACCACGACCGCGGTGTCCCCCGTGTGGCACCCCGAGGGGACACCAGGACCCCCCCCCCCTGTGCTGGCCGGGGGGTGCTGGACACGTAGCTGCTGCCTGCCTCAGTTTCCCCATGCAGGAACCAGGTTTAGCGGTGGCATTGGTGCCCCACAGCCCATTTCAGCCCAGTCTGTCCTTACTGGGATGCCCCTGCAGCCCATGCCTGGGTTTATTGGGGTGCAGTGAGCAGCACCTCATTTATTGGCAGAGATCCGATACCTGATGACACTTCATTAGCTGGGGAATGGGTGTTTCTTAATGAACAGGGAATGTTCTCAGGGCAGTTGTGTGCAGGGATTGGCATTTGCTGCCCATTCCTGCGATTTCCTCAGCACAGGGCTGCGATGTCCCCGAGCTGAGCAGGGATTTGGGGGTTCATTTGTAATGGGTTTTCAAGGAGGGTTCTCCCTTTAGAGGGGAGGATGCTCCAAGAGGAAAACCTGAATCCCTAGTCAGGGCAGGCTGGATAGGGGAGATACCTGGGAAAAATCCCCTTTCCCAATCACTTTGGTGTCAGGAATGTCCCTACGCGGATCCCGCAGGGATGTCCCATGGAAAGGTTTTGGCATGAAGGGGATACCGGTAGGTCCCAAGGAGAAGGGGCTGGTTGGGAAGTGAGGGGAGCCCCCCCATCGGAGGGAGCAGAGGGAACCTGGGGGTGTCCCCGGCTTGGGGACCCCAGGAGCGGAGCTGGAGGCAGGGCGGGCAGGAGGCAGTGACCGAACGCTGCTGTGCTGCTGTCCCCACCATGCCCACCCTGCCCAGGAACATGGGTACCAGCCCAGAGCCTCCCAAGGCCACCGCTCTGCCCCCCACTCCCCATCCCTGTCCCCATGCTGCCCCCTGCTGCCCTAGACCAGAACTAGACACTCCCCATCCCATAATTGCCCCCCTCGCCCCATCCACAGACAGAACTGTCCCCTTATTCCCACCCTAGAACTTACCCCCATCCCAGACCTTTCCCCTTCCCATCCCAGAACTGCCCCCTCCATCCTCATCCCGTAATTGTGTGTGTCCCCTATACCCATCCCAGAACTGCCCCATCCCATAATTGCCCCCCCCCCCCCCATAGCCTATCCCCAACCCCATCCCATCCCAGACTCCCCTCTGGGTCCCCATCCCCTGCTGTCCCCATATAGTGTTATGGGGGCACCCTAGATTTCTACCCTGGGGGAGACCCCAGGTTTGGGACTGGGGTTGGGGCTGCCCGGGGGGACCATGCCAGAGGGATGGGTCTGGTGCCTGCCCTCTGAGCCCCACTGGTGTCACCCCCAGGCACGCAGCCATCCCGGTGGCAGGACCCTTGGGGACTCTATCCAAAGGATGTCCCCACCATGGGGTGGCTTTTCCCATGAGATGGGCACTGGGGTCCCGCTGGGTGTCCCCCATGGGGACATGTGGGGTAGCAGCACCCCCTGCTGACAGCCGGCCCCTGTCTGGGTGTCCCCTCACACCCCCCCCCAGGGTCCCGGGGGTCACATACCTGCGCCCTCCCCTCCGCAGCCCATGCACGCTGCCGGGGTGCAGCGGCGGGTGGTGGCACCGTCACCCACAGAGTGGCAAACCGGCCCGGGCTGCTTCATGGTGACATCGTGGCCCCCTCCTTGTGTCCCCAACGGCAGCGGTGCCAGCGCAGCGCCAGCTGTCCCGGTGCCGATGCTCCCCGTGACTGAGCGAGGCGGTGCCGGTGCTGGGCAGCCGTGGGTACCGGCACACGGCACCGGCACACGGCACACGGCACAGGGGGGAACAAGTGACTCCAGGGCCACATGACCAGGTCTTAGGGTTTTTGACTCAGCGGTGGCAGCGGTGGCCGGGTCCCTGCGGTGGCCACAGCAAAAGGGAGCTTTGGTTTAGGTGCTCTGGGTCACTTGCACACAGGGCTGGGTGACATGTGGCACATGGGTTGTGCCCCACTGCCGCATGGCACTTTAATGGTGCTGCCAGTGCATGCCATGAGATGTGGTGCTTTGCCACATCACGTGCCATGTGCCACACTGCGCCGTGCCATGTGCTGCATCCCATCATGTTATCGCATTCTGCATCCCACCAGGTACCACATCCCATCACATGCCACATGTCATTGCATGCTGCATCCCACCAGGTACCACATCCCATCACATGCCACATGTCATTGCATGCTGCATCCCACCAGGTACCACATCCCATCATGTGCCACATCCCATTAAGTGCTGTGCCCAATCGTGTGCCCATGCCGTCGCATGCTGCATCCCACTGAGTGTCACATCCCATAGTGTGCCACATCCCATTTTGTGCTGCACCCAATCGTGTGCCCCATGTCATTGCGTACTGCATCCCACCGAGTGCCACATCCCATAGTGTGCCGCATCCCATGCCACACCACACCATGTGCCAGGCCAGGTCCCAGCTCATGCTGTGCCATGTGGCTGGGCAAGGACACTGAATACAGCCCCTCTCTGCCCACAGACACCTGGACACAGGGATATCGGGACACCAGGACACCAGGACACAGGGCCCATGGGCCGATGTCAGTGCTTTATTTCCTGTGCCATTATATAGACATGGGCTCTGCCCTTCTCACAGTACCAAAATATAGTGAAATCCATAAATAAACCCTCATCACATTCAGAGTTGATACAAAATAAGATTTATCACAAAAATAGATATTTATATATTAAAAGCATGTCTTTAAATATCTCTTCCCACTGTGGGGACAACATTAAATTAACACCAGGAGTCAATAAATACAAAACCACACAAATAATACGGTATAAATTAAGGGAGGTGGGTGCCACCACCCAGTGTCACAGTGTTGTGGCTGGAGCCCAGCCCCTGCCTGGCACAGCCCGAGGGGCCTGGGGACACTGAGGGTACAGGGACACTGAGCAGAGAGGGATGAGCCTGGGTTCTCCCAGGACATGGGGATGCTGAGAGCATGGGGACACCCAGAGCATGGGGACACCCAGAGCATGGGGACACCGAGTGTGCAAGAGTGAGCACAGAGGCGCAACACAGGGACAAGCACAGGGGCACCAAGGGGGGACACTGAGAGCACAGGGATGAGCCCAGGGGTGAGTACAGTGACACTGAGCTTGTGGAGACACAGAGCTTGATGGGATGACACGGAGCTTGCAGAGACATGGAGTACACAGGGACACCGAGCACACAGGGACATGGAGCTTGCAGGCACACGGAACACACAGGGACAGCAAGCTCCCAGGGACATGGAGCTCACAGGATCCCACTGAGGGGATGCTCCAGCAAGGCGGGTGCTGGCTCTTAGTCAGGCCGGGTCACCAGACCCACTGAATCACTGGAAACTCCGGCAGAGCTCAGTGACAAGGGCCAGCTCCATCCCGCCGCGGTGGCACCGGGGACACCGGAGCGTGCGGCTCCTCACGGCACCGGAACGTGGGGCAGGAGATGGGGGAGCTGCTGGGAGAAGAGCGGGGCTGTCCTGCAGCCGGGCACAGCTTGGTCCTCATGGCAAGCTGAGGTGATGGGAGCTCCGCCGGGCACGCCGGTGGCCTTAACCCTGCAAGGTCCCCATGGCGCATCCCGGCCAGCGGGAGAGTGTCCATGGCAGGGAAAGGGATGGGTACAAAGGAGGTGATGGAGATGACGACACACGGACACCTCCAGTGGCCACGCTAGGAGCGCGCAGGCAGCTGCGAGCCCCGCTGTGATCTCCGCTTGTCCCGGCGCGCTCGGGCTCGGACCCGAGCCTCCAGCTGGGCGCTGAGCTTGGCCATGAAGCGAGCGTAGCTCCAGAGGAGCCGGCAGCCCTCCAGCTTCTGCCGGAACACCCTGGTGGGGGCCGTGGGGCCGGGCGCGGGCCGGGGGCCGGGCCGGGGAGCCGGGAAGAGCCCATCCAGGTTGTTGAGGAGCCCTCGCACCTTGAGGTGGGTGCTGGCCAAGCGGCGCAGGATCTCGGCGCCCGGCGGGTTGAGGTCGCGCTGCTGCCGGGTGATGTCCTGCAGCGCCCGGGCCATGCGGGCCATGGTCCCCCGCAGCCCCCGCAGCCCCCCGGCTCCCAGCACCGGGCCCCGCAGCCATTCGGGAGGGTGGTTGGTGCGGCAGAGGTGGTGGAAGGCCAGGCGCTGGTCCTCCTCCTGCCCGGGGTGGGAGGGAAAGGTCAGGGGGGTGGGATGGCAGCAGCACGGGGATCCCCCCACCCAGTGCTGTGTGTGTCCCCCCATGGAGGGGACAGGAGCGACCCCGCACCCTGGGGACAGGGACTCACGTAGAAGGTGAAGAGCTCCTGCGCATCCTCGGCCATGTGCCTCACCAGCGCCTGGATCTGCTGCAGGGTCGGGGGCTGCAGGGGCCGCCCCCCCTGGCCCGGCACCGCCCAGAGGATGAAGAGCCCTTTGGTGACAACTGGGGAGGAAAAGAAGGGTCAGGAGGGGACACTGGGGCATCGCTGGGTGCAGGGAGGGAGCCCCTTGTCCGTGCTGGAAAGGCACAAGTTCAGTGGTCCCTGTGCCACAGGGAGAGCTCAGCCCTGTGCACCCATCACCTCGGCATCAGATCTGTTGTGCCAGGCACATGCAACCATCCCCTGTGCCACAGTCCCCAGTCCTGCTGCAGGTACAAGCCCTGTGCCAAAAGCCTGCCGGGCACCCAGCAGGGAGCAGGAAGATGAGAACAACGGTGGTAAAGATGCCACTGAGCAGCCTCAGCGGTTACCCCAGCGGCTGCCTGTCACCGTGGGCCACCATGAAGGTGGAGACAGCGGTGACACCCCTGGATCTGGCCCCTTGGCTCCAGCTGGATGCTGTCCCGACCCCACTGTCACCCGTGGCTGTGTCCCGGTGGTGGCTTCAGATGCGCTGGACCAGCACCCAGCACCCAGCGCTGCTGCACTTGAGGGGCTGAAGGGTTTGTGGGGGCTGCAGGGTTTGTGCCAGCAACCAACTGACTCTGCCATCAGCCCCCACACTGACCCCAAACCATGTCCCCTCCTGCCCACCCCCTTCCCCAGCCACAAAGGGACCCCCATGGGATGCCCATCCCCGTGCTCCCACATGGGGTGGGATGCACCCATCCCCTGCCCGCACCCTGGGGAGGTGGCACAAGGAGCGCACACCCAGGGTGACACCAGCAGCCCCCGCTCACTGCCTGAGCCCACCCATGGGACGGGGGGGGCCAGCAGCAGCCACGTACCTGCCAGCACGCACCAGGGCCGCCCGTCGCTCCGCATGGCAGGGGCAGGGTGTTTCGGCGCGAGTTCACTTCCTTCACTGCTGCCGATGGGGAACTTCGCCTTTTAAAGAGCACCCATTGCCCCCACCTCCGACCGGGGCACCCGGCCCCAGCGGGGAGGCAGCGGGGAGCGAGGCCGTGCCCCGGGGCCAATGAGCAGGGCCGAGCCCCGCAGGAGGAAATGATGCTGCCCGGCCAACGGGCTCGTTCTTCGATTCAGTTCCTCGAGGGAGTCCGTGTGGGTCCCGCTGCTCATCCCGGAGCCCCAGGACCCGGCTTCCTGGAGAAGGGATGCTTTGAGTCACTCTGGTTTCACTGCGCGGCACCCAATGGGGTGCTTGAACTGAAAACGTCCTCAGCTGCCCCGAAACCCAAATGCAAAAGAGGGCGGCAGCAGTGGGGCTGGCACCCAGGGACAGGGGTGCCACCATGTGGGGACGCGCATGTCCCATCACAGGGAGCTTCTCATATTGGGTCCAGTCACGGGAGGTAAAAACCTGTCTGGATAAGGAGGGAGGTGGAAGCCTGGGAAGTTCGTAGCATCCTGGGATGCTCAGGGACCACCCTGTGCCATGGGGAGAGCTCAGCCTTGTGAGCCTATCACCCTGGCATCAGGCCTGGAGGCACAAACAGCATGTGCCATGTGCATGCATCCATCCTCTTATGCCAAAGCCCCTGATCCTGTTGCAGGGACAAGCCAATCCCTGTCCAAAAGCCTACTGGGGAGCCAAAGGGGAGGAGAAAGATGAGCATCCCAGCATGGTCACGGCGCTCAGTGATGCTCCAGAGGATGCTCCACCCCTCCACCCATCTGCTCCCAAAGACCCATCCCTGTAGGTGATGGCTTTGGGTGCTGATGGAGTGTGGCTCAGCCCCTCTGCCCAGCAGCACCCATGGGTGCCCTTGGGGAGGAACCACACGCGGCGGGTGTTGCCCAAGGGCAGCGGAAGCGTGGTGCGGGCAGCGCTGCCCTCACTGCTGCGTCAGCCTTATGCAACCACCATGGGAGAGCCCAGCTTGCTCAGCACCACAGCAGCACCCACCAGCAAACAGCCCCCTTGCCCATCCCCTTTCCAAGGGGATGGAGCCGGCTTTGCCTGCTCCACGAAACGGGTGCATGGGATCAGCTCTTCGGGACACGCTGGGCTCCCTTTTGGTGCCACCAAAGTGCCGGTGTGGGGAGAGGGAGCTTCCCCTCGCCAAACTTCCACCCTGGGAGGGTTCGGTGGTGGCACTGGGGGGACAGCCCAGTGATAACGTCTGCTCCGGGCGGAAGCGCGCCCGTGACTCAGCCCCAGGGGAAGAAGTGCTCTCTTTTCCCCGAATTTCCCCCAGGCACCCTGAGGCACGCTGAGGAGTCCCCAGGGCAGGACCTGCCTCCTCCTCCTCCTCCTCCATGTGTCCCGCAGCAGAGGTGGGGCTGGGCTGGGGCTGGGGGGCCGGGAGCCGGGAGAGCATCCTTCTCTCTGCACATCAGTCTGTAGGAGCTCGTCCATCTGTCTGCCTAGGAAGCCCATTTACCATCTGTCCCTATGTGCACCTATCCATCCACACACCCGTCTGCATGTCCACCATCCGTCCACCTCTCCATCAACCTGTCTATCCAACTACCTGTCGTCATCCAATGAATCAACTGCCCATGCATCCATACATCCACTCATCCATCCATCCACCAATCTATCTGTGTGTATCCATCCATCTATCTATCCACTTGTCCATGCATCCATCTGTCCTTCCTTCCATGCATGCATCCATCCATCAATCCATCCATCCATCTGTCCTTCTTTCCATCCATCCCTCCCTCCCTTCATCCATCCATACATTCATCTGTCCTTCTTTCCCTCCCTCCATCCCTCCCTCCCTCATCCATCTATTTGTCCGTCCATCCATCCATCCGTGCATTCATCTGTCCTTTCCATGCATCCCTCCCTCCCTCATCCGTCCGTTTGTCCATCCATCCATCCATCCATCCATCCATGCATTCATCTGTCCTTTCCATCCCTCCCTCCCTCCGTCATCCATCCAGCCATCCATCTATCCATCCATCCACCATCCACCCATCCGTCCATCCATCCATCCATCCACCCATCCATCCACCCATCCATCCATCCATCCATCCATCCATCCATCCATCCATCCATCCATTCCTCCATCCATCCATCCATCCCTCCATCCATCCCTCCATCCATCCATCCATCCCTCCATTCCTCCCTCCCTGTCACTGTGGTCCCTCCAGCATGTGCAGTGCCACGGCAGGACCCCGGCGCTGTGCCCGGGTGAGCAGGACCCTGCAGGCAGCGCAGAGCAGAGCAGAGCAGAGCAGTGCAGTTCCCTCCCACCCTTCGCTCCCCATGGCTCCCCATGGCTGTGACCCCCGGGGCAGGCGGGTGGCGGGGCCTGAGCAGCCGCAGCAGGGACAGGAACAGCGGCGGTGACCGCATGGGCCGGGGCAGTTTCCTCATGGCTGGGCGCGTCACCGGCGTCCCATGACAGGGGACGAGACAGGAAAGAGGAGCCTGAAGCCACGGCAGGAACCCGGCGGGAGCTGATGTGGGGAGGACACGGCCGGGACCCTGCTGGTGCCTGGGGCAGTGGGGACGGGACCGGAGCAGAGCCGGGGTCACCCCCAGCCCCACTGAGCTGCTCTCAAAGGGGTTTCCAGCACCCAAAGCAGAGGGCATTGGAGCTGACCCCATCACCGGGTGCACGGGGGTGTCCCCCCATCACCTCCGTTCCCATCCCACCCAGTGCCACCCCCCAGGTACGTGGCAATAAAAATAACAGCTTTTATTGACTCCTCAATAAACTCCATGGAAAAGCAGCTTGGCAGAGCTGGGGTCACCACGACAGGCGACAGGCACCGGGGAGGGGACACCGGGCCCCACTATGGGGAGCTTTGGGGTGCCAGGGGGAAGCCCAGCTCTGGGGAAGCTTTTCACCAAGACAGGGCTGGTCCAGGGGTGCTCCAGAGCATCACGGCCGCTCCCCACCCAAGGGGACTCCCCATACATGGGGCATGGGGACACATCCTGGGTTGTCACCCCCATCACTGCTCTGCAGCACGTCCCCTCCTCCAGCAGGTCCCTGGGGACATCCATTCTCCTCCTGAGCCCCCAGCGGGGATGGAGGCACGGGATGGTGCAGCAGGACCACTGTCCCATTGCCATGAGGCCACCAGGTCCCCACATCCCCAGCAGGCAGGGAGCGGTGCTGCACTCACCTCTGCCCCACACCATGGGGAGCCTGAACATTAAAACTAAGGAATACAGTGGGGGTGAGGAGGGGCAGGGGCACCCCCCACACCCCCCAGTGCCACCACACTGGGCCACCCGGCACGGGGACAACCGGCCACTATCTGCTGCTGTCCTGGCGCTGCTGCAGCAGCTGGATGACCTCAGCAATGCCCTCCTCAGGGACCTGCCATGGGGGGAATGGGGATGTCAGCCCCATGGGGACACCTCCAGGGTGGGGGGTCCCCGGGATGGGGGTCAGGGGCTCACCAAGGCATGATCGAAGTTGAAGGTGCTGATGTAGTAGGCGGAGATGTCGGCAGCGGCCAGTGGCTCTGCAATCTGTGCCACGATGCCGCACTCATCTGGGCAGGAAAGGGGTCCCCATAGAGCCTTGGTGCCATGGGGATGCACAAGGGCAGCGCCACCCCAAGGGCAGGCCAGGGGAGGATGGGGAGGTGTCTCACCAAAGCCAAGGGGCTGCCCCCCGATCCGCACCATCCGCCACAGCTCCCCCGTTGAGCTGGTCAGCAGCAGGTCACTGGGGAACCTGAGGGCGGGGGGTGCGGAGTGAACCCCTCCTTTCTTGGGGTTCACTCAGCCCCCGGTGGGGGGAGCAGAGGGATGGAGACCCCCAGGGACAGCACCCACCGCTTCTGGGTGTCGGCGTCCATCACGATGGAGATGTAGCCGTCGATGAGGGAGAAGGCGAAGAAGGTGATGGAGTCCAGGTCCTGGCTGCCGGCACCGGCCTCCCGCGGGGGGCTGCAGGGCAGGAAAGGGGTGGCGGTCCCCAAAATGGGGTGGAAAGGGCTCGGTGGTGGCTCAGGGCAATGTGTTGGGTGAGCTGGGACTGGGGAGCGTGGGGAGCCGGTGATACCCCAGGGCCTGCAGCTTGCAGAGGGGCTGGGTTGGGGACAGGGGTGACACCAGGAGTTAGGGCATTCCCACAGGGCTGCAGTGGCTCTGAAGCAGGAGGGTCCCCCAAGAAGGGCCTCATCCTAGGGGACACGGCCAGGAGCATCCCCTTGCCACAGCACCATCACCACCAGTTTCACAACCCATCTCTCCTGCTCTGCTGCACTGGGGGGGCTTGTCCTTAGGTTGCCCTGGGTCTCCCACCTCCCATGGTGGCAGTGGGACACACCGCAGCCACATGTGGGTCAGGAGGGCAAAACCAGGTCGCAAACCACACCCAGAGCTTGCAAAGCCACTGGGAGCAAGGGGAAAGGGACACTTGTCACTGCAGCTCAGGGGGCACAAGGGTGATGGGATGGATGGGTGGCACCCACCATGTCCCATTGCCAGGACCCACCTGTGGGAGTAGAAGAGGACGTCGATGAGCATGGTGGCGATGGCGGGCAGCGTGTCGGGGGCCACGGTCAGGATGCAGAAGCGGGTCTGGGGGCTCTGCACCGGGTGCAGCGTGGGGCTGGCAGCTGGGGAGGGGGGGGGGGGGAAGAGGCACCGGTCAGGTTGGGGACGGGCGAGCAGTGCCACCGCGTGGCCACTGGAGCCACAGCCCCGCGTCCCTCGGGGCACGGGAGGGGACCTGAGAGCAGCTCCAGTGCCTGAAGGGGCTGCAGGGAACCTGGAGAGGGGCTTGGGACAAGGGCCTGTAGGGACAGGCCAAGGGGAATGGCTTGAACCTGCCCGAGGGGAGACTGAGCTGAGCTCTTAGGCAGAAGCTCTTCCCTGTGAGGGTGCTGAGGCGCTGGCACAGGGTGCCCAGAGAAGCTGTGGCTGCCCCATCCCTGGCAGTGCTCAAGGCCAGGTTGGACACAGGGGCTTGGAGCAAGCTGCTCCAGTGGAAGGGGTCCCTGCCCGTGGCAGGGGTTGGAGCTGGAGGAGCTTTAAGGTCCCTTCCAACCCAACCCAGGCTGGGATCCTGTGACGTGGGTACCACTGGTGGGAGCTGGAGCACCTCTGAGGTGGCCCTGGGGGACATGGACCCAGTATCACTCACCCGGCTTGGGCTTGAGGAACCCATTGCTCACATCCTCGCAGGTGACGGGGACGCATTCACCACCCTCCTCCCTGTAGATGTCAAACTCCCCGGCCAGTGTGTGGATCACCACGGGCAGATCTCGCTCCCGGACCTGATGGGGGGGGGCAGGATCAGGCCCAGCATCACCACCAGCACCAGCTGGAGGCAGAGGGGCCCTCACCCAGCACCCCTATAGACCAGCCCCCCTTCACCCTCACCCAGTGCTCACCAGGATGAAGTCGGTCTGGTAGGTGGAGAGCATCAGCACAGAGACGTGGTGCTCGGCCAGCGGCGCGATGACCGAGCGCGCGATCTTGGTGACGCCGGTGGCCTGGCAGCCGGGGGGCTCGCGCCCGTTGGACACCACACTGAGCACCAGCCACGTGGAGTCCGCCACCTGCATGAACTCGGAGGGAGGCAGCTCTGCAGAGGGGACGGGGACACCGGGGCTGTGACCACAGCGCATCCCCATCCCCTCCTCACACTGCTCCTCAGGGGCTGAGGAGCTGGATGGGATGGGGGGGGGGCAAGGCAGGACCAGACCCAAGTGTGGGGTTGGAGGTGCTGGTTGGGGGGCACAGGCCAGTCCCATCCATGAGAAGAACCAGCATCACGAGCCAAGATGCACGTGCAGGGATGAGCAGAGCAAGCCTAAAGCACCCCAGTGCCAGGCCCCATCCCTCCTCCCCACAGCAGCACCCCAGGGTGGGTGCAAGGGGGTGTTAGGGTGCACTGCACCCCAAAACCAGCATTACCCTGTCCCCCAGCAGTCCCCAGCACCGTAGCAGGACACAGGGCACCAGAGGGGACAAGGGAACGGACATCCAGTTGTGTCCCCCCATCACCACCACTGCGCCCACCCCCTGCCCAGGAGGGGACCTGGCACTGCTGGGGTGCCCCAGAACCCACCCCTGGGCACCATTTCTGCACCCCACAGCACTCCCAGGACATGGGGGGGTGGCCCCCAAGGGGTCTCCAAACCGCTCCCCCCCCCCCATGGGAGCCCGCTGGTGAAGTCAAACTCATGGCTCCAGTGGTGATGGGGAGGTCACCCCAAGGGGGGGTTCCCCATCATGGGGCGGGCTCCGCACCCCTGTTCCCACTCCGTGGCTGGGGCAGGGCGGGAGCGGGGCCGGATCCAGGCCCTCGCGGGTGTTCCCAGCGCCTGTTCCTGCGCAGGAAGCGCCAGAACAAGCTCGGCTCCGGCCCAGGGCTCGGCGCTGGGGCCGCGGGGGGGGGACACGGGGGGGCCGTGGGGACCTGACCCAGCGCCGGCCGCTAAATCGCTTTCCAACACCACCCTGGGCTGGACACCCCGCTCCTCGCGTCACCCCCCCGCGGTGCCACCGTGTCCCCCATTGGGATAGCGGGGCGCAGCTCTCCTGGGGGGGGGGGGGGGGCACTGGCACCGGCACCCCCAGGCTCGGGACACGCACACGGAGCCGCAGGGCCACCGGCTCGGGAGCCATTGTTCGGCACTTCCCGCCCGGCCCTCGGGATGGGGAACGGTTGTGCACAGGGCCCGCAATGGAACAATTCCTTGGGACGGCCTCCGGGTTGGAGTGGGGGGGAAGAGCCCGGCCCCGCGGCCAATTCCGTGGGCACGGAGGTGGAGCTGGATCCGGTTCAGCGCTGCCCCCTGCCCCTGCGGTGCGGCCGAGGGGATGAGCTGCGGCCCCGGCCCCGGTCCTGGTCCTGGTCCTGGTCCGGGCAGGAAGGCTTGGGCCGGGGAAGGCCGGGCGGGACCCGGACCCTCCGGCGCAGCGCAGCGCATCCCGTCGGGCCGGTACCCCCGGTGGTTGGGGTGAACACGCGCTGGGTCACCCGCATGGGCACGTCACCAAATGACACATCCCGAGAGGGCGGCGAGGCCGGGGTGGCTCCAACCCCCCTTAGGACACCCCAAAACCCGGCCCCACCCCCGGGAGGGCTCCCCCCCCCCCCTTCCCAGCCCCGGGGGGTGCAGACTCGGCCCCCCAACACCGCAGCTCTGCCCGGGCCGTGGCCGGGCAGGCTGGGACATCCCCAGCGCAGGCGCCAAGGGGATGGGAGCTCCGTGGCCAAGAGCCCCGGGGATGGGCACGCTCCCAGGGAGCCGCGCTGCCAGCCGGGACTCGCTCCTTGTGGCTCAGGACCGGAGCGTTGCTGCGCTGAGAACGTGCACAACTCGTGTCAGCGGTGCCAGGCGGGGGCAATGCGAGTACCTTTGAAGCCCTCCTCGTCCAGCATGATGGTGTAGTCCTCGGGGGTCTCCGTCAGGCTGAAGAACTTGCACCTGAACAAGAACCCGACGCTGCCAACCCCCGGGCCGGGCACCGGAGGAGGAGGAGCGGGACGGGGTGGGGGGTGAGGAAGGTCGGTACCTGCAGCGCTGGGGCAGGAAGAGCAGCTTGAGCAGCGGGTGCGTGTAGAGCCAGAGCCCGCGGCGGGCCAGGCTCAGCACCCGCACCCGGTGCTCCAGGATGTGCAGGTCCATGGCCCCCGCCGCACCGGGACCCGCCGCCGCCGCCGCCACGGCCCAAGCCCGTCCCGTCCAGGGGGCGGGGACACCGCTGGCCACGCCCATCGCTCCGCCCATCGCCACGCCCCCGCCCCGGTCACGCAGGGAGCGGGCTCATCGCGACCCCAAACCCCGCCACCCCCCCCCCCCCATAGACACGGGGTTAAGCAGGGCGGTGCCATCGGGGTGACAGCAGCGGGTCCTGCCCCATGGCACCCTCCCAGCACCTTCCCCCCAGGAGACATGGGGGACACCCCACGCCATAGCCCCCCCAGCCCGCAGACGGGAGCACACGGGGCCGCAGGCGCCTTTACACAATCTGCTTTATTTACCTTTGTACAAAACCGTGTTTCCCCGCTTTATTTTACAAAGCCACCCCCTAACCCTCAGGCAGGAGAGAGGGGACCCCAAACCAGGGAGGGCATCGGCCCTGTTGGGGGCAGAAGTGCTGGGGGGAGCCCCGGGAGGCGGAACGCTCCCCCCGAGGCTGAGGACATGGGGAGGGGCTTTAGCGCCGTGGTCTGGCATCAACCCCCCTGCTCCTGCAGCTCCCAACCTCGGTCCCTGTCCTGCGACGGTTACTGCCACGGAGGAGTAATAAATAGGCTCAAGTGAGTAGGTACATTGGGTACTACAGGTAGGGCTACAGCTCGATATATCCTCACTAGATAAAGAGGAGCAGGGTGAGGGGTACCCCCGGCTCCCCACACACCCTCAGTGCCCCTGCGCCAGGCGTGGAACTGGCCCTGGGGCTGGCAGAGGGATGGAGGCAATGGAGGGACCCTAGGGGCACTGGGTCACAGGGGGGGAAGGGGCAGGGTGAAGGGACCAAGGGGCACCCGGGATCCCCCAGCTGTGGGGAGGGAGCTTGGGTGGCTCAGCCACCCCTGCCAGGGCTCCCACCGCGCATGGTGCCAGCACCGAGGTGTCCCCGTGGGTCACCGCAGCCCCTGCATATGGGGACCATGGCGTGTCCCCATCCCTCCGGTGCCGGGGGACACGGGTCCCCACGCAGCCCCCAGCAGCGGCCTCCAGCCGGGTCCATGCGTGCCGTGCTGGCCCTACAAGTACGTGTCCTCGCTCTCCCGGGAGCTCAGGCTCTCCTTGGACTGGTGGTGGGGGGACACCTGGGGGTGCAGCAACTCCGGGGCCGAGCTGGGGGCCCCACGGCCCTCGGGGCCGTTAGCAGGGCTGGCCGGGCTCTTCTCTTGGCTCTTCTTCTCCTTGCTCTTCTCCTTGCTCTTGCGGGCCTTGGGCACGGGTGCGGGCCCGGGGGACACGACGATGGAGGGGACGGGCTCCAGCGCTTTGCGAGGGGGGGGCTCGGCCTCGCTGATGGCCTTGGCGCCGTGCAGGCGCGGGGGGCTCTTGCACTGCAGCTCCCCGTGCGTCTCCCTCCACTTCTTGAGCTGGATGAGGTGCTCCCGCTCGATCTGACGCTCCGTCACCGGCAGCTCGATGACCTGCGGGACCCGGCTTCGTGTCAGCAGTGGCAAAGGCAACCCCAAATCCAAGCTGTCTGGGGGCTACACCAGCTCTGCCCACCCCAGAGCTCCCCCAGCACCTCACCTCCTGCACCAGGAAGGTCTCCTGCATGATCTTGGGGCTGAGGGCCCTCAGCCTCTCCATGGTCTCGTACTGGCCTTGGCAGGACTTGAGCTTGTCCGAGGAGCCCAGCGTGTGTTTGAGCAGCACCAGGCCCACGCGGAAGATGATCTTCACCCCTGCAATGGGAGAGGTGAGGCAAGGAGTGCCCAGCAAGCAGGGTGACGCTGCCACTGTGTCCCTCAGGTGCTGTGGGACACCAGGTCCCGGCTCTGCCAGCAGTCAGGACATTCAAGAGGCTGGATTAGGGACACACGTGTCCCCAGACCCCAAGCCAACGGCCCAGCCTCCACCCCAGGCACGTGGCTGCCCCAAACCTGCCCTACAAGAGGTCCCACATGCCAGGCACAGGCAAGCAGCCGCTGCAGAGCTCCTGCTGCAGCCCCAGGTGCTGTCCATGCGCTCACCCTGGGCCGAGGAGGAGGATGGTGGGTGAGGAGCTTGTACCTTCACAGAAGAACATGTCCCAGACGCGCAGGACGGAGCTCCAGGGCAGCGTGCGGGAGAAGGCGCACATGAACCACTCGGTCATGTAGAGGATGGGGTCGATCTTCTGCTTGCTCAGGTGCTTGTAGGCCACGGGAGAGACCTTGTGCAGCAGCGAGAAGAGGATCTGCCCATCCAGCTGAATGGCCTCCTGCAGGGACAGCATCCAGAGGCCTTAACCCCAGCACAGCCCTGGGACCAGCAGCCACCCCCCAGACCTGGCTCCTGGAGCAGAGCTGTGCCCCACGGATGCTGGGAGCAGGAGAGCCCCATCCTCGACTGCGGGATGCTCCCAGGACCACACAACACAGACACTGGGGGAGCCCCCAGGATTCCCCGTGCCCCCTTCTCCCTGCGGGGTGAGGAGCTGAGGGAGCCATCAGAGGTCCCCACTGCCCCCATGGGCACCGCAGGCCCTGCACTCACCAGCTTCTCGCTGTAGTAGCCGGGGAGGTACTTCTCACAGATCTGCACCAGGCACCAGAACGCTTGCTGCGAGCCAAGGACAGCAGTGAGTGCCCTGGGAGCAGCCCCAGGGCTCCCTGTGACCAAGGGAGGCAAGGGGCACCCCTCAGCACCCCAGCTCGTACCTCGGCTGGCATGTGCATGAGCAGGACGGCGGCGATGGGGGCCTGGGCCTGGCAGTAGCCCTCCTCGGGGCGGTAGAGGGTGTACGCCTTCAGCACCCGGAACAGGTCCTGCTGCCTGCGGGGACACGGGGACAGGGAGCTGGACACAGGGCATGGCAGCATCCCTGCAGAGCCCAGGGATGGATCCACACTGGGCATCCCATGGGGACCCATCACCAGCCTGGGATCCTGCTTCCACGCATCCCCAGGGACACAATAACCACCGCTCTGCACAGAGGCCACATCCTACAGGGATGCAGAGGTAAGGCAGGGAGACTGCCATGTCCCATGGGTGCTGGCTCAAGCTGAACCATGGCCAGGCAAGGACTGGTCCCCCATGACAAGCAGGCCACAGTGGCCACCTCCTCCCTCCACCTGAGGGCTGTGCCCCATGCACTGAGCTCCTGAGAAGCCATCCTGCTTCCAGCCTGTGCCTGGATGCTCTGGGAACTGTGGAGGGGGGACACACAGCGCCCACCCCATGGTGCTGGTCCAAGCCAGGACTCCAGCCCGGACTCCACTCACCCATGGCCTCCACGCGAGACGAACATCTCATGGAAGGGGAACTGGCGGTGGAGATCCCGCTCGATCACATCCAGCCACTTCGGGTCCCCCGTGAGGAGATCCAGTTCCTGGGGAGCACAGAGCCGGGCTGAGCCGCAGCCCACACCAGCACGGTGCCAGGTCCATGGGGCTGGGGGAACGGCCTCCAGGCTGGGCCTGGCTCTGCCCCAAACACGAGCCCCACCAGGCTGGGGGTCAGTGCTCCCCCCAGCAGAAACAAGCAGCATGTGGGACCCCAAGTGATGCCCCAGCCCTAAGGGGGGAAGGATCCGACCCAGCAGCTCCCCACAGCAGCACCCCACGCACCAGCGCCCCCTGTACCAGCACTCACATCAAACTTGCCCATGTTCTGCTCCAGCTTGACCTTGCTCCCGGACAGGTACTGCCAGGCCCGGCCCCGCAGCGAGGGGGGGATCCCCTTCTGGCACCGCAGCCGGATCTGTGGGACACACACAGCTATCACTGGGAACACCATGGAGCAGCCGTGGGCAAAGAGGCCCCCAGGGCAAGATGGGAGTGGGGCTGAGCACCGACTGCACCGGTGGGTGCCCGGGCACAGTGGCACAGCCTGGTTTGGGATGAGGGGACCTTGAGGCTCATCCAGTTCCAACCCCTGCCATGGGAGCCCCAGGCACTGCCAGGAGCCAGCCGAGGGTTCGTGGCCTGCAAACAGCTCCAGTGAGCCCGGCTCTGCCTCAAAGCAGGATCCACTCTTCCCTGTGAGGGTGCTGAGGCGCTGGCACAGGGTGCCCAGAGAAGCTGTGGCTGCCCCATCCCTGGCAGTGCTCAAGGCCAGGTTGGACACAGGGGCTTGGAGCAAGCTGCTCCAGTGGAAGGGGTCCCTGCCCGTGGCAGGGGTTGGAGCTGGAGGAGCTTTAAGGTCCCTTCCAACCCATACCCTTGTATGATTCCATTCATTCCCTGACCCTGCTGGGAGCTGGAAAAGCAAACACTGGAGCTAAACGGGGAGCGGGTGCTCCCCCCCAGCACAGCCAACAGGAAGCACTGGAATCCCACAGGAGCACTCTCCAGGCTCCTCCGACCCAGGGAGAGCAGGGAGATGCACGCAGTCGAGCTCTTAGCCTTTCCCCCCTCATTCCATGCATGGCCAGCTCCATGCCCAGAGCCAGCCCCTGGTTTCCTTGGCACTGGGCACCAGCAGGACCAAAGTCCAGTGCGGCAGCACCAGCACCTACCCCACAGCAGGGCTTAACCCTGCTCCTGCCAGCAGGGACCAAACCCAGACACCCCCAGTGCTGGGGCATCAGCAGCACCATCTCCCCATGGACCCTGGCCAGCACACGCAGCATTGCTGTGCCCATCAGAGCAGTGCTTCCAGCAGTCACCCCACATAAGGCTCCACGCTTCCCATCCCCACATGGGGAGCTCATCCCAATTGCCAGGGAAATGGGATGCCAGAGCCCCCACATCTTCCCTGGTGTCTCCAGCCTGCCCAGAGCTCCTCTCCCTTTGCTGCTGTAGCTCAGGAGCAGGTTGGTTCCAGGCAGCCGGGTGCAGCTCCCTGTCCCTAGGGAGGTTTTGCTGCTCCCTCCCCATGGTGCTGTGTTTACAGGGGCAGCCCCGGTCCTGCAGGGCCTTTGTGCCTGCAGGAAGCCCTCGGGCGATGCCCAGTGCAGCTCTGCCCTGCTGCCAGCTCCCTCCCGGAGCCAGCTCCCCTTCCTGCTGGCCCAGCTGCCAGGAAGGAAGCTGCCCTGCTGGGTTCAGTGCAGCCCCTGCAGCTCCACAGGCGCCAGAGCCAGGCA